AGGATTTATCCTATTTATATATTAAGAGGTATGGCAGTGAAGTGATCCAGAACTGAGAGCCATGCAGAAGTAAATGATGTTTGCTCCTATACTGCTCAGTGCTCAAAACATCAGAAGAACTGTGCAGGATCAGGTCATAAGGCTACCTGGTCCTGCCCTCAGTTCCCACAGTGGTCACCCAGAAGCTGTAGCACCTGCCCGCCTGTGTTGCAAGCAACTGGTGTTTAGAGGCCTAGCACCACAAGCCTTGCCACTGAGAAGCTGTAGGGGAGAACTCTGGAAACCCATCAGCATTTGTTCAGATACCCAAAGAGGAAACCACGCCAAGAGACACGTGGATTTCAAATCTCACTGGGACCTACACAGAGTGGATTGGTTTACTCAAGGCAATCTAAACCAATGATAGAAATCAGCAAAAAGAAGTGATTTCAGTTAATGATTTAAATAATTTTTCTCACTGAAACTTTTTCAAATATTTCCTGAATAGTGCAATTCTGACCACTAATTCATGTTTATTTACAAGCGAAGCCAAACACGTATAAAGTAGAGACCTGCTATAGTAAACCCTCTAAACTCTGCTGGGTGCTGCTGGGGCTGCAGAAGGCACAACAGAGGCAATTTTTGGCTCTGGGTCCTCCTTTTAACCTCCCACCCCCACAGGGGTATTTGGACCTGTCTTGGAGGAGGCCTGGGTCCAGATGATGCCCATAGGATAGTTTTGGCTCTCCAGCTCTGCCCACCAGCTACCCCCACCCCTGACCTTTACAGTGTCCTCTAAGGATGTCCTAAAGGATGCTTTTCAAAGCCAGTGCCCCAAGGGGTCCAGCAAGTGAGAGGGAAGGGGTGGAACATGTTTGGTCACCCTTCCAAAGTCATAGCAGTGTCTCTTTCTTCCCAAGGAGCAACCAAATAAATCTTATGACCCACAGACCTTGAACTGCTCTGCAAATAAGAATTTTCAAAAGCAACTTTTACATGGTTCCATTCTTAAAAGTGGCCTTTGCATATTTTTGACTCACTACAGAGGCTTCAGCAAGGGGCAGCATAGAAATGTTATAATAATAATAACAACAACAACAACAACAACAACAACAACAACAACCCTGACTGCTCTTTAGAAGGCCAGACACTGAAGATGAAACTCAAATACTTTGGCCACCTACTAAGAAGGAAGGACTCACTGAAGAAGAGCCTAATGCTGGGAACAATTGATGGCAAAAGAAGAAGGGGCGGCAGAGAATGAGGTGGCTGGATGGAGTCACTGAAGCAGTTGGCGTGAGCTTGAGTGGGGCTCCGGGGGATGGTGGAGGACAGGAAGGCCTGGAGGAATGTTGTCCATGGGGTCGCGATGGGTCGGACACGACTTTGCGACTAGCAACAACAATTTATATTTTTTCTTGCTTGCCTTTTTTTTTTACCTAAAGAAGGTCTATCTTTAAAATATTCCAATATAGAAGTTTTCTTAGGACCAGCACCCAAGAGAGTTTGAGGTTAACAGCATAATCCTAAACATCCCTACTCAGAAATAAACTCCATAGAGTTCTGTGGGATTTAAAGCCTTAATAAGGAAATCCAAGTAGATGATCACAGAATAATGTTGCCTTTTTTTCTTTCTAGTATTGCTGCGTTCTGCTTCACTTGGAGTTGGTCCATCTTTGCCCTCAGAAAAAATCAAAGCAGCAGATGAAAATGAAATGGCCATGACTGAGAGGTCAAAGCAAGTTTGATTGTTACTGAGCAGGAAAAAAAACCCCCACATATTTTTTAAACTATCTTTTTTATCCACCCTACTAGCTTGTTTTTCGGTTTTGACTATGCTTTCCTTGGCCCAGTTCCACTACCACATAAGCACAGAACAGCAACAATTCAGTCTAGCCTGTGTCTTTGCACATGTGGCAGTCACAGAAACTGAAAACCCAAACTTTCAAGATGCAAGAGCAGGCAATTAGGCTAGACAGAACCACTTCCTTCAGATGAAAAATTGAAATGAATGCCCATATTTGATTGGCATGTTAATGCCACTTTTACTAGACTTTAAGTGTAGGTTGAACAGAGTAATATTCCACTATGGCTATAATTTTATGGGAGAGTAATTTAGAATTTTGTTTTAAAAAATAAAGAATCCAATGTTTTTAAAGGGGTTTAAAAATGATTTTTTAAATCTCTCCTGGTTCTAAACCTATGTTATGATTTTAAAGATATGACTCATGATTCTGAAACAGAAATAACTAAAAGAGGTCTTCTGACTATATCAGCAGGCTGAAAAATCCAGGGCGTCCATAAAAGTTTTCTATTCTCAAATGTGAACTTACCCTGTACTACTTTAAAATGACAAGCTGCCACACAAGAGAGAACCAAACTATGGATGGCTTATGCGGACAAACACTATCACGGTAGTTAATTGTTGGCTATCTATTTGCATCCCATAAGCAGCCACTCAAGCTGCAAATTAGACAAAGGACATACACAAATGAATTAACACTTCCAGGTCTGTCCTTTACAGTGTGCACACAAATCTGCTGTGAACTCAGTAAAGACATCTACCCAGGATGCAAATGAGTGGCAGGCTTCTGGCTCATGGTCAACTTCCCATGTTGGGGGAGAAGAGCCTCAGAGTTTGTCAAAGCAGCAGCTCAATTCATACAACAAGCAAGACAGGTACAACAGAAACAAAGCATATCACTAATGTGACACGATCTTTGTGTATTGCACTGTTCCATCTCTCCCCATCAACCCTCCTCTGATCCAAGCCACTCCCACCATGGTGCCTAATCTAGGTCATTTGTTCAGCAAATTGACTACTATTATTCCTGTTGGCTCCAGAGCCCCACTGCCAGCCCTGCAACAGTGGAACCAAAGCCTCAAGCAGCCTCCCCAACACGTGCCCATGGCTAAATAGCCGTCTGCTTCACAGTCAAGCCACTCACCAATAAAGGATTTGGTTTCTTAAGCTGCAGGGTTGTTGAGAAAGGAAAACAAGCAGAGCTCGCCTCATTGTTTCAGGGGCACAGTCATTTTCCCAGGATTTAAATGAACCATACAATTTTTTGAGAGGAGTGGGGACTGCATTTTGGCACACATCTCAAAAGCTGGCTGCACAGCAGGGCTACCACTGCTACTGCAATTAAACCCAAAGCCTGACGTGATTAGGGTCCTCAAGAAGGGTTGACTCAGCTAACAGGAAAGCAAGCTAGCAAAGGAACCGCTGCACAGAGCTGAATCGCAACCTTCAGAGGAAAAGGAAAAGTGAAGCATAAAAACATCCTCACATCGCAGGCTGTGGACACAGCTATTCCACGATCCATCCCTCAAGGCTGCGGGGAGCAGCAGCGCTCACAGCTGCTAACAGAAGGTATATAAAGATGATCTACTTGCTAACAGAAGGAAAGTAAAGATGGACACATGTCAAGTTGATAGACTGGCGGGAATGAATGATGTCTCACCCATCTGGATGGTCTGCAAACACAACTCAGGCATAGCTGCTCAACGTACTTTCTATTTCCCCCATTACAGCTGTCAGGAGAATAACGTAAATCAAATAGGATTCAAAGGCCAGTGAGGCTGCCCCATGGGATAACATGTTTTGTCTGGGTTCCAGCATTTCATGTAAGCTGCACAGCTTCTCCCCTTCATCTTCCTCATACTTCCATCCAAATGCTGCATGCTTTGCAGGGAGGAGGGGACCTCTGTATGGATGGCATGTTGGAAACCCTTCGAGAATTATACAGTCACAAGAAACCAAGTCAAGTCTTTGGATGCAGGCCCAGCCAACCCATCAGAGACTGCACAGTGCCGCTCTCACCGCTCCAGACCAATCCAGGAATAGCCATAGCAGGGACAGAAAAAAGATGCGTGCAGAGGAAATGCCCCAGAACAAGGTCCCATGTTGCTGGAAAAGGGCTCAGTGGCACTTGCTTCCAAAGCTGATTTGCTGAGCAAACACCAGCACTGCCAGCTTCCCAGTTCTCACAGGCAAACCATACAAGCCAGAAAACCTGAGATGAGCCTAGAAACTGAGAGTCCTCCCCCCCCCCCCCCCACGAAACAAGGCAACCTTTACTGGAGTTTTGGAAAGAACTGCCTTGGCTTTTAACCCCTTCCTTCGCAACCCCAGGGGGCTGCAACTGAGTCTCATTCAATGCAACGATTCCAGATTTCCCGGCAACCTGAGCTAACCATTCCAAAAGCAGGGCGGGGGGGGGGGGGGCAAGAAAAAGAGAGTGTGCAGTTGCCAACGGATTTCAATTTGCTTCTTTCACAGAGGACGAGCAATAAGTGGCTATGACGAGGCCGAGGCAACCGCCTCGGTCCGTCTTCTGCCAGCCTAAGCGCAGAGCCCTGCGTCCAGCAATACTGTGACGGCCCGCTCGCCACACTTCCCAGGCTGTCCGGAGCGTCTGGTTAACTTGCCCAACCTGTCCCTGCTTCTGCCTCCGGCTGCTTCCGACGAGGAGACGGCAAGAGAAAAGTCCTTGGCAGGTGGCGGGAAACACACAGCAAGTGTTTCCTGAGTATCAGCGCGCTCAGGGGGCGCATTGGCGAGAGGCACCTGGAGAGCAGGCACTCGGCACCTCCGGCCGAGCGCGGAAGGGCTGGGCTCGTGGAAGCGAGCCCCTCCATTTCCGAACGGTGGGCTGCACGCTGCTGATAGCAGCTGCCACGGCGGCAGGACGCGGGAGAGCATCTCGTCGCTCGCGAGGTAGCCGCAGGGGTCTCCCAGCGTGTGAAGGTGGGGGGGGGGAGGCGGGAAGAAAGCTGGAGGAGCCGAGGGGACAAGCCGTGGCCAGCGGGAAAGGAGACGCTCGGACAAACCGAAACATGTAAGAGCGGGAGCAGAAGGCGACAGCACTGCGAGCGAGCAGGGTACGCGTCTTTGTGGCGGGGGGAGGGGGACTGATCTGCCCCATTTCTTCCCTCCCCCCTCAGGTGCACCAACGCCCGCCGAGGCTCAAAGGGGCATTCCAGAGATGTGCGATGCAATTTCTCGCCCCCCCCCTTACCTGCCCACGGTCTGGTTGGCGAGCTGCCGCATGCGGTTGAATTGCTTCTTCATGGTTGCGCCCTTGGCCAGAGAGCGCAGTGGGGCGGGTGGGGAAATCGGTGGCTATCCCGGGGGAAGCGGCGGGGGGCGGGGGAGGAGGAAGGCGGTTACATGGCCCTTCTTCTGCAAGGTAGGAGGTGGGGGAGGATTCTAGCACTGCAGCAGCGGCGGCGGGAAAGAAGGAGGGGGGCAGCCCCCAGTCAGCAATATCGCAGCCTTCTGCATCCTCCGGGTGCGCAGCAGCGGCGGCGGCGGCAGCGGCGGCGTCGCTTCCTCCTCCTCGCTTTCTTCTCCCTCACTAAGCGCCGCCGCCGCGCAAGCACGCCCGGCCCGACTGCTCAGCGCCGCGGGCTGGCCATGCTGCGCCTTGCCCCCGCTCCCCGGTCAGCGGCGATCCCGCCTTCTTAAGTGGAAGAGCGGCGGCGGCGGCTCGGACTGCGGCTGCCCAGCCTGGGGCGCTGGGAGCTGTAGTCCCCTCCTATTCCGTTCTCCTCCTTCCGCTGTGGGAAGCGTGGGGGCGCTGCGGAGCATCGCGCGGCGGCGGCCCCTCTCAACCAGGGCGACGCGGGAGGGAAGCGAAAAAGGAGGCAGCGCCGAGCATCGGTGGCCTCATTCGGCGGGATCGACCTCCGCCCGAAAATAGCCGGTTCCTCCGGGCTGGCAGGAAGGAGGCATCTCATTCAAAGAGCGAGCTACGAAGAACACGGTGATTCCAGCCACTCTGGTACTTATTCCCGGTGTGCCCTCGTTTTCTCTGATGCAAGCTAGAGATTTTTAGCCTCGCCTGACGTCCCCGCATTCAAAATATTCCTAGTCTGGCCACTTGGGACGTTAGTTATGTGCAGCTGCCCGAGTAGGTAACCACCGTGGAAAGAGGCAGAAAAACGGAAAGCTAAGGGTGGGTTATTGGGACTTCTCACCAATGTGATCGCCGTTGTAGTACCACTAGATAATTGCAGACTCTTAACTTCTTCCGATGGTCATTTGTATCGCTTCAAAATGTGTCAGACCAGTTTGGTCGCGTTTGAGGGCTCCTTGTTTTGCAGTTTGAACCCCAGGAGTTCTGTCCTGATGATTTTTCTCATTTACTTTGTCCTAGATTTTTCTCCTGATTTTGCCTTTTAACGCTACTGCTGCTGGTCTGCCCAGACAGCGTTCTATCTCTAGAAAGCAGTGATAGACCCTTTTCTCCTAATTATTGCATCTTAAGATTATTGCAAATGATTGCAAAAGTGATGTTGAATGTAATAAACAATTAGAAATTCTCTTGTCTTTTAATGATGCTTAAAATCCTGTTGCCTAAGCCAACAGTAGCTCCAGCCTTTCTAACCTATGGCTATTTATAACAGCAGTCCCTGATGAAGGCAGATGCCTTCAATGGTGGTTGTATAACTCTTCACTCCTTTCCCCCTTAAAAAATAATAAAAAGGGGGATGAGGCTGTCAAATTATCCTTCCTGTTCCTGAAGCTGCTACTGACCAGCAGGCAGGAAGAGAAGAGCAGGTAAAGGAGAAAGAGCAAGGCTAGGAAGGGGGAGAGGCGGAGGGAGGGAGAGTGTGAGTGTGTGAGTGAGTCTCAAGGCTGGCAGCAGAGAGAAACAGGATGATAAAAGTGTGTGGGGGGAAGAAAGAGCAAGGCTAGGGATGAGAGAGAGAGAAAGGAGAGAGAGAGAGAGCAAGGCTAGGGATGAGAGAGAGAGAGAGAGAGAGAGAGAGAGAGAGAGAGAGAGAGCAAGGCTAGAGGCTGGGAGTGGAGAGAGAGCGAGCAACCACAAAGAGAAATGTCTGTGTGGATGCATGTTACCACCACAGCCTTTATGTTGTAAACCTCCCGGAAAACTCCAGTTACTGGGTGGTATAGAAATAAAATAAAATACTGCCACTAACAGTGTGACTAGCCACACTCTCCATGGGGCCCATTTTGTGCTGGAACCCACAGTAGTTCCTCAAATTGCCAAAGTATCCACAAGTCCAAAAAGGATGGGGACCCCAAACTATATGTAATCTCTAGTGATGATACTCTTCTTTCTGTCTGTGAATCTATTCTTCATCATTGTAACAAAGAGGCCTGACTTCAGCATGCTGGCCAGTAAAGGCCTGCATCCTCCTACTGAGGATGGTGCCCCCAAACACACCATCTGACTAGGGAGGTCTGTGGCTTAGGTGGCAGAGCCTCTCCTTTGTTTGCAGAAAGTGCCTAGTTCAGCCCCTGGAATCTCCAGGTAGGGCTGAGAACAAAAACTCCACTTGAAAACTTGAAGAGCTGCTGCCAGTCATTGTCAACAATATCAGGCTAGATAGGCCTATGGTCTGACTCAGTCTAAAGCAGCTTTCTATTTTCCTTACTTGACTTTGAATTCTATCTCAGCCACCAATTCCATTGGGAAAGCACACTGTTTCAGCCTCAGTGGTCCTTCAGTAAAATGGGCATAGCATTACATCTCAATTAGGGCTATTGTAAATATAAGGTAGAAATAAAAATGTAATTAGGATACCAATTAGTTTAGAAGATATTTTTTCATAGAAGATAGATTTTTCAAAGGCATGATTTTGTGGGATGGTATCCCTGATTACTGTGTAGGGGTGCAAAAACTGGGGTGGTTCCCTGTTTACACAATAGGGGTCCAGTTGGCAAGAAGAAAGCTGGCAAGAAGAAAATGGATGCATTTGAAGCATGATGCTGGGGGAGAAGTTTCAGAAGGGCGGGGGGGTACAAGAGTAGGATGACTGAGGGAAGTGATTGGTTGGTGTGTGAGAGTGTGGGTGGAGCTCGGAAGTGTGTGAATTGAGGGAAATAGATGCATTCAGTCTGTCAGCAGGTAACAGTTGGAGCTGTGGCAGAGTCCAAAGAGGCAGTCTTCCCATTAGAATTCCAGATAGTGCTGTGGAAGCTTTTTAGGGTTCATAAGGAAAGGGAAGGGAGTGGAATACTTGGAAGACGTTAGTGCCTAGGGAACGGCAAAACCAAACATTGGCACATATTACAAGGGTGTGTGAGAGAAGCTGGCAGAAACCTAAGTGCAGTAGGGAAAGCTTAAACTGAGATAAATAGAAGAAAGATTGGTCAAAGTACATTCAGAAAAGAAAGGAGGAGTGTTTGTGAAGGGAAAGAGTGAGATACCTCAATCAGAAGTTACTATATGCTGTTTCATTCACTAAGGAAATAAGTAATCAACACCTTGAAACAAGTATGCTTATTGTGCAAATAACGTTTTATTGTTAACTCAGAGTTGTAGGCTGTTTGAATATCAGTGTCTCATCCTCAGGACCATGTCCAACAAAGCGGCCTTATAGCTTGGGCACAATACTGTGGGAGAAGTTAATTAATAAGACTGAAATTAAATTCCTGGTAGCAGCGTTACAAACCCAGAGAAAGAGAGGGAAATATGAGATAGTTAAAGACACTCCATATCCAAACAAAATATAGGAGTGTACTTGTGACACCCTGGATCAACAGAAAGATAAACAAGTGGGTCTTAGATCAAATCAAGTCAGAACTTGAACCTGGAAATAAAAATGATGAAACTGAGAAGCACATTGGAGCACATCTTGAGAAGGCAAGACTCACTGGAGAAGACAATCATGCAAGGAAAGTTGAAAGCAGAAGAAGAAATGGAAGACCGAATGCAAGGTGGATAGACTCCATAAAGGAACCCACAGCCTTGAACTTAGAAGAGCTGAGCAGGGCTATCATGGGTAGGATGTTTTGGAGGGCTTTCATTCTTAGAATTGCCAAACTCTTATCTCCCAAATTGTCAACATTTTTCTGAAACAAAGGCTCAAAAATGTCAATTAAGATATAGCACTTCCATAACCACACATGCTGTGTATATGTGTGTTTGTGCCTACAAACCCCATGGACACAAGAGCCATCGCACACATGTTGTTGAGACAAAATGTTGGTCAATGCAGCACCTTCCTCTGCCTAGTGCTCCCTCAACTTTGTGGAGGTGTGGAATCCCCTTTGCAGACCAATAGTCCTTATTTCCCCATGCATAATCAATCAAGGTGCCAGGCAATCAATTTGAAGCAACATTCCATGCAGCTGTGGAAGCAAGAGCAAGGGCATTTATCCTCCCACAGTACTAACCTGTCCCCCTTTCCACCCTGCAAAGCTAATGTGGCTTTGGCTCTGTAAGAGGCGAAAGGCCGCACTTCATGCTTCTGGGGATGAGTGGAGTGTTAGGACCTAGCACTTCATTGTTATATTAATCAACAGAAAGGTTCTAGCTGTAGGGATGTGCAAGTAATTATCTGAACATTCTGAGTGTTAAGGAAGAGGGAGGAGAAATGAAATTGCACAGCTGTGGGTGCTTATTTTCTGCAGCTGATTCTGGAATCTGGGTGGTGCCAGTATCCAGCATACCTGTGTGGTGGTATTTCCCACTTTTCATTTACTGCACCGGTCTATACTAGTTAACATAGTAGAACAAAACCCAAGTCCAGATGAGATGTTAGAATATGAACAAATGCATAGGGCAACAGAGGATTAAATTTGTTTCAGCTAATTGCAGAGTTGCCTTTCCAGAGTAAACCCCATTTCAGCATCTCACTGAGCAATCCTAACTATGTGTAGTGGGGACGATACACGGCTGCTTTCCTGCCGTATCCTATACATTCACATTCTGGGGGGCATGGAGCAAACACCCCACCCAGAAAAGCTCCAAAGGCTGCAGAATCAGCAGTGCCCATGGAAACATCACCAAAGCCCATCAGTCAGAGGATTCCAGCAGCAATGCCCGCAGGCTACCTATACAGGGGGATGCATTGCACGACATGGAGACCTTCACAGTGGAACAACCCACAGTCAGTCTCACTTTGGGATGTCCCCCAACTCTTTCCCCCTTGGCCTTCCACCTGGTCCGACAAGGGACTTGGCAGCTAAAGCTACCTTGTCTCCTTCCCCTCTGATTGTATGTTGCAGCTCCCCTCCACCCCCAGACTGCTTTTCACAACCTCAGAGTTGACAGCCCTCCAAAATGCCCAAGTGGCACAATGCTGCAAGTGGCACATAGGAGGTGCCGTCATTGGTCCACAAGCGTCTT